CTTTTTCTTCTTGCGATTGTGAGGTTGCACAACAAAATTCACTTCATGTTGTTGAACAACGACTCTTCCAGTTTTTGATGGGACTGAATGAAACTTACTCTACGCTTCGAAGTCAGATCCTCATTATGAAGCCTCTTCCTACAATTAATCAGGCATACTCTATGATTGTTCAGGAGGAATCTCGTCGAGTTCAGTTATCTGGCGCACCTATTGAAGTTTCTGTAATGTTCTCGAATGTTTTCAAAGGAAATGATCGAAGGCAGTTCAATGAGACTTGTGAATATTGTAAAGTCAAGGGCCATAGTCATGATAGTTGTTATCGGCTTATTGGTTTCCACCAGATTTCAATTTTAATAGGAAGAAGGCTCCTCAGGCTGCAATGGCGGTTAATTTTGTGAATTCTGTTAATGGAGAGGTTGAGACTGGTTCGGTGGTTTCCTCTCCTGTCTCAACTATTCATACTTTCACTCCTGAGCAGTATAATCAGATCTTAAGCCTGTTGAACAAGAGCTCGGCCTTAGATTCTAGTGTGAATCTTGCAGGTACTGTTGCTTGTAGTTTACCTGCTTCCAATGATATGTATGTTCGTTGGATAGTTGATACTGGTGCAACTGATCATATTTGCTTTTAAGGGCCCGCAATTTCATGTTTCATGTCCTTCCCATCATTATGTCCATATGCCTAATGGTCAAACTGAATTAGTATCCCACATAGGTTCTCATAGGTTGACTTCTGATCTTGTTATCTCTAATGTCTTGTTCGTTCCTAGTTTCACCCATAATTTGCTTTCTGTTTCTCGACTTGTCAAAGAACATGGTTGTGTCATTTCTTTTTATCCTGACATTTGTATCTTGCAGGATCTTTACACTGGCATGATCAAGGGGTTTGGTAGAAGGTTTAAAGGGCTTTATATTTTTGAATCCACTAAAAGAGCTATTGATTTGTTTTCTACAAAAAAATGTAATTCTTTGGTTAGTTCTGGGAATATTTCTTCTGTTAATTATGTGCTTACTGCTTCTGTTTCTAATAAAACTAATCTTTGGCATGCTAGATTTAGGTATGCTTCTGCTTCTGCTATGAGAAAATTGTCTTCTTATGTTTCTGATAAACTTGATACAAATGTTGTTAATGATTGTAGTGTATGTCTTTTGGCAAAACAAACCAGATTTCCATTTCCCCTTAGTCTTACTAGATCTTCAAAACCTTTAGAACTCATTCATATAGATTTATAGGGTCCTTATAAGATATATACTCCTAGCGGTCATAGGTATATTTTGACTATTGTTGATGATTACACACGAATGACTTGGGTATATCTCTTAAGAGTTAAAAATGATGTTGTTCTATTTCTCAAGCAGTTCCTTTCTTTTAACTCCACTCAGTTTTCTTCTGATACTAAAATTTTTAGAAGTGACAATGATACATAATTTTTTAATTCTTACTGTACTCCTTTTTTCTCTTCTCTTGGTATTTTGCACCAGAGTTATTGTGTTCAGACTCCACAACAGAATGGAGTTGCAGAGAGAAAGCATATACATCTTTTAGAAGTAGCTAGGGCTTTACATTTTCAATCAAAGGTGCCTGTTAAATTTTGGGGTGAATGTGTGTTAACAACTTGTTTCATTATAAACATACTTCCTTCTTCTGTTTTGCAATGGAGAACTCCTTAGAGTTTTTGGTTGTTTGTGTTATGCTACTGACCCAAAACCAACAAATAAATCTGCTCATCGAGCCTTACCTTCTGTTTTCATGGGATATTCTAATACCAAAAAAGGTTATCTTTTGTTTCATCTTACTTCTAAGAAGTTTTTTGTTAACAGGGATATTATTTTTCATGAACATGTGTTTCCTTTTCATTTTCCTGTTCAGGCATATTCATTTTTTCCTTTTAATCCTTCTATTCCTGATTCTGAGTTCTTAGTTCTTTCTTTTGGTCAACAACCTGTTCTTGTTGTACCACCTAATTCTTCTTCCATAACTGAACCTGGGCAATCATCACAATAGTTAGAATCTGCTATAGGTCCAGTAGCTCCAGTCTTAGTTAGGAAGTCTACTAGGGTTCCTAAACAACCTCAATGGTTGAATGACTTTGTTTGCAATTTTGTTTCTACTTCTGCTTATCCTATTTCATATTTTATTTCCTATAATCATCTTCCTCTTGTTACACAATCTTTTGTTTCCTCCATTTTGCATCATGTTGAACCTAAATCTTATCATGAGGCCATTCAACATCCGGAATAGGTGTGGGTTATGAAGGATGAAATTCTTGCTCTTGAAACAAATAAGACTTGGTCAGTTGTATCCTTACCTTCTGGGAAAGTCCCTATTGGTTGTAAATGGGTTTATAGGGTTAAATATAATGGTACTGGTATTATAGAAAGATTTAAAGCTCGTTTGGTGGCCAAGGGTTATAGTTAAAAAGAGGGTGTAGATTATGTGGATACCTTCTCACTAGTGGTCAAATTGGTTACTGCTTGTTTTCTTCTCGTCATTGCTTTTGTTTTTTATTGACCTTTGTTCCAGCTTGATGTGTATAATGCCTTTTTACAAGGTGATTTGTCTGAAGAGGTGTATATGGAAGTTCTTCCTGGTTTTTGCAGTCAGGGGGAGAATAAGGTATGTAGACTGCAAAAATCACTTTATGGTTTGAAACAAGCATCTAGACAATGGAATTTGAAGTTAACTGAGGCTCTTTTAGGTGTTGGTTATGAACAAATCAAATTTGATTATTCTTGTTCACAATGAAAAAAGATAAGAAGATTGTAGTCTTGTTGATTTATGTTAATGACTTGCTGATTACTAGCAATGACAGTGTTTTGATTGATGATTTAAAGAGTCTTTTGAACATGAAGTTTAGAATGAAAGACCTTGGTGAGTTGAAGTATTTTTTAGGTCTTGAGATTATGAGATCGAAAAAATGGATCTTAATTAATCAGCGCAAAATATGCTCTTGAATTGATTGAGGAAACATGAGTAAGTGGTTCAAAACCAGCAAAGACTCCCCTTGAACAAAATGCTAAGCTTACTACAACAGAGTATGATGAGCTGTGCACAAAAGGAAGTAATGAAGTTGATGAGTTATTAGCTGACAAGAGTGTTTATCAAAGGCTCATTGAAAGACTTATTTACCTCACACATACCAGACCATATATATCTTTTGGTGTGCATTACTTGAGTCGGTTTATGCAACAACCTAAAGAATCTCATTTGCAATCAACATTGAGGATAATGAGGTACATAAAAAAAATCCTAGTAAAGGGATCTTGATGGATTCAAACAGTAGTTGTGATATTGAAGCATATTATGACTCAGACTGGGTTGCATGTCATATTTCAAGAAGGTATGTTTCTGGTTTTTGCATTAAGCTTGTAAATTATTTGATTTCATGGAAGTCCAAGAAACAGAATACAATAGCCAGATCATATGCTGAAGCAGAATATTTGGTTAAATGGTTTAGTTAAAGAACTTGGATTAGAAAGGAAGTATCCAATCAAGCTATATTGTGATAATAAAGCTACTCTTCAGATTGCAGCTAATCCAATCTATCATGAGCGCACAAAGCATATAGAAATTGATTGCCACTTTGTAAGGGAGAAAATACAAGGACTTATCAAAACAGAATTTGTATCTTCTTCAGAGCAATTAGCAAACATATTTACTAAAGCTCTAGGAGTACAACAACATGAGTATCTTGTATCCAAGTTGGGGGTAAAAAATATCTTCTACCCACCAACTTGAGGGGTGTTAGAAGTTAAAGTTTGTTATTTTTTATGTTTTACTTGTAACTAACTACTAGTTAGATTAGAATTATATATATGTGTAGTTTCTATTTTAAAATAAAATAATATGAGGTATTTTTTTCATCTGATTTTAACAAAAATAGTATTATTTTAATTTGATTAATTGAAGTTTACTTTTAATAGTAAAAATAAATAAAATGATATACTAATAAAAGAATAAAATTTTCCCAACTTATACACACTTCCTTTTGCAACAAATGCCGCTGTTGTGAGATTTCAAATTTGATATCATGCGGTTGATGATGTGACAACGGGCACAAGTGTCCCAATGAAATTTTTGTTTTCCTTTGTAGAATAAAGATCCATTTTTTTTGTCAGTCACCCTGCAAAAACAATTCACCGTGCTATAATGTATTACATAATTTGGGAGTTTTATCTTAAAACTGTCAACCGTACATGGAACATGGTGGTGCTTCTGATGGGGGTTTGCATCTGTAGTAGATATTTCCAGGCAGTTGTTGGAGTAGCGGGAAATTAACGGTTGGCTTGCCTTGATGCTATTAATATCGCAGGTTGATGACTCGTTAGCGCCTAAAATGGATTGGATTTGGAATCTTTCGTGCTCAGAACGTATTCGTTTCTTCGTGGCATAATAACAAAATTACTTAGAACATTTTAATTTTGGGTTAAAACAGACCTTATTAGATTAAAATTGTTAATTGATCAACTATCAACATATGTTATTGACGTAACATATGATACATCACCCCAAGTAATGACATAACATGCATCATATCACTTAAAATAGTGACATAACATGTACCACATCAACAATTAAACACATGAAAATACCACGGCAACATGTCTTGACTATTAGTCAACTAATGGTTTCCATCCAACAAAACTATTTTGACCAAAAATTAGAGCGTTGGAGGTTAAAAGCTCCAAAATAAAGAATATAATACAAAGCAACCATTTATACAAACGTTGGTGATAATATTGTCATTATACCTTTCTTCACAAAGTAGTTCTAGAAAGGTTAAACATGAACCAGATCCACACTCGAAAAGGCATCACAGTTGATTATTGTTGTTTTCTATGCTTAAATGAGATTGAGTCAATTGATCATACTTTTCGTAAGTGTGCTATTGCATGTGAGGTTTGGCAGGCTATAGGCATTATACATTAAATCAACATGATTTATTCTCTGTTGATTTTCATTGTTGGATACCCGAAAATTGGAATAAAATTATATGAAAAGATACTGTTTTTGCAATGTCAATCATGGATTACTGAAATATTATTACAAAGAAAACATACCCCTCCAAGAATGGATTGGTCAAAGGTAAGAACAAAACATTGTTAAACTGCCTACAGATACAGATTAACAAGGTAATGCCAAATATTGAAAGACAAAATGCTTATTATTATTATTATTAATATTTATTAAATTACTAAATGGATAACAAATTCTATCCAAGAGTGCGACCCTAATCAGATTGTAATAATAGAAAGGGAAACAATTGCCAAAATGTGGGAAGAATCCACTTGTTTCAATTTTCTATATCTCATCAGGTGAATCTTTAACCTTCCAACAAAATATAACCAGAATGGTTACCACGAGGATTATTCAAGCAAGTACCTTTATCGTGGAGGAGGTGGAGGAACATGGGATTTCGCCATTCCCACCCATGCAACGATTCCAACAGCAAGGATTACCCATCCAAATATATCATACTTCAAATCACTGCTCTTCTTCTTGGCAGCCTGAAAATATACAAATAAATCAGCAAAAATCTTCTATCAACTTGGAGAAAAGTGAAGGGACACTGTCATATTTGTAATGTTTCTTTGGGCTCAGAAGTCCGAACTCCATGAATAAAGAATCCATCCATAAATATTTCATTACATCCATTAAATGAAACAGTTATGAAAAAGAAAAAACAGCAACTATGTCTTTGAGGTCGTCGATCTTGAACACGATGTCTGACAAAACTAATTATTAGAACACTTTTTTCTTTATCTACTAAGCAGGACTTTTTTATTACCTAAACCTTACTAAAGCAAAAGTACTAACGAAGATCTATGTTAACAAAAAGAAATTCTTTTCAATAGGAAATTACTGGCAATCCCTCAAACAACTGTATGCAATGCCACGTCTTCAACTTTCTGTTACAATTCTCTCTCTCTCTCTTTTTTTTGGGGGGGGGGGCGGGGGTAGGAATGTCCATTGCAACTGTTATTGATGAAGTGATTTTGGCGCAATCTTACACCGATGTGGAAATATTTACTTGAGTACATCGTTGGAGAACTAAGATTAATGATTTGAAACCAACCATAGCATAATCAAGGCTTACATATAATTATAGGAATTAGTCATTCACATCTGGTAATACATAATGAACTTATGAATACAACATAGTAATTGCTAACTTAGCTCACATGATAAGATAGGATAATGCAAGGAAGCACTTCCATGGAAAAAAATAAGGGAACAAGCAGGGAATGTTTGGAAGTCGAAGAACATGACTACTAAAAATACTCACAGTTGAAGTTGAAGAAGCTGAAGATGCCCCACCCATAATCTGTTGGCTAGCTGCAGCCTTTTGGAAGTCCAGATGTATCTCTGGAGCCTAAGAAGACGAACGAAATCCAAACTTTATTAGAAAGTACATGCAAGTTGCAGCAGGACGACCACTCAATCCACACTCCTTTTAATACTCGTTTCTTTTTCCTCAAGAAAATAAACAATATCCATTTGGCACAATAGGAAATTAAAGAAATTCAAAACAGCATAACATTGATAAAACAAAAGGAAAACATCAATCCCACTAGCCTGCTGTAGTAACAAAATATCTTATTATGTACTTAAGAAATAGCCATAACTTTATCATTGATGAAGTTTATATCAAATAATTATCACTTCAAACAATGCAGCTAAAAAAGTTAAAACATTAATTAAGTTATATACCAAAGTTTGTGAGGTTTTATTCACATAAGGCATAAATCTTCATGAGGTGTCAAAAACTTCTAGTTGTATAATAAAGGAAAGCAAGTTTACCTTAGCAGCAACTTCCAAAGACTTTCGATAAATCTCATTGCCTGGATCCTACCACCCCAAAAATTCACCAAATTAACTACCAAACTCTCGATTTAGAATTTTCAAAACACACAAAAGAGATAAACAAAGAAGTTACCGCATCAACTGCTTTTTGGAAAAACTGAGCTGCCTTATCAAAAGAAACTTTTGCCTCATCAGAATCCGTAGTCATAAATGCAGTAGTTGAGAGCGCGTTTCCCATGCACCATAAAGTTTCATGCCTGGATGGATTTATCGCCAACGCCTCATCAAATTTCGAAATTGCATCTAAACGATCAATATCCATAGCATTAGCAAAAATAATAACAAGTGGAAAATATAACATATTATTAAATTCAATAACAGGATGAGAATACCATTTATCATATTATTTGCATCCGAAACAGTCTGAAACTGAGCTAATTCGAGCAACGCCCCTCCCCATTTGGTTAAATTCTGAAACCAAATTTAACAGACAACAATGAAATTCAAAGCAAAAAATTAAAAAAAAAATACACAAATCTCAACCATAGGAGAACATTGCGAATAAAAGAACCAAAACCCAATTACTGTCAAAATCGAGCAATTTTAAACAAAGAAACGGATAAATATATATTCTTCAAAAGGAAAAGAACGGAGGCAATAAAAAATAGAAGGAACCTCGGTGTCAAGAGGGTCATTGGCGTAGGTGGCTTCAGCGGTTTTTCGAGTGTGTTCGGCGACCAGTAGGCGATCGAAGTCAGCTTGAGAAAACTCCATTCCAGTTATTGTTTTCTTCTTTTAGTGTTGAAACTGATGAGGGTGGCCGCTAGGGTTTTATGTTCTATTCGATAAGTGTTGGGAAGGGAACATACGGTATGAGCAATGCGCGAAGTTGGACTAAAAGACCGTGATGTCCCTCGGTATTTGGCGCTCCTTTTGCCTTGACTCTTTTTAGGGTCAACAATAATATTTTTTTTTTTGGATAAATAAATTTTTTATTTATCCAATGAAAAGGAACAGCAAAACATCCCAATTGGGATTTAAACAAAGTTACTTACAACAAAAATCAGTTTAAACTCCAATAATTATATAAGTTCATATTCACATAGTCAGTCCTATTGAAGTTTCTGTCACTGAGATTGAATCGAACGAGGTCTTTTATATCTTTTAAGACTTGATCCACTGTTCTTGATTCTTTCCTGAAGATCCTTCGATTTCTTTCATCCCAGATCGAGTAAATGTATGTTGTCCATGAAAGTTTCAGGATGGTGGTGAGGAGTGATTTGCCTTTCCAATGTTGAGAAGCCCATCCAATTCTCGTTTCCCAGGTAGTATGCATGATGCACATGTTAGAAAGACTCATGATAGAGTTCCATAGAGAAGTAGCAAAAGAACAGTCCATAAACAGGTGATTTATAGTTTTAGTCAACTCTCGACATAAGCAACATAAATCATCAGAAACGATACCCATTTTAGAGAGCCTTTCCCGAGTAGGAAGTCAATCAAGAATAGACATCCATGAGATAATACTCAGCTTGGGAATGTGCAGTGGAAACCAGATAACTTTATGCCATGGTACCTTTGCATTTTGTTCTCTCAATTCCTCCCATAATTCTCTGGTTTTCGAAATCCCTTTGTTAATAATAGGGATGGCTTCAGTCCTTAATTTGATAAGCTTCCTAAGACACCAGCTGAAGGAAGAACTTGCACTGATGCTCTGCTTTTAATAACATAACAGTAAGTCCATGCAACCCACGGTGATCCATCAGCAGCTAGTAATTTTCGAATGAGCTGAACCATGCAAGTTTTATTCCATGTTCTGATATTTTTTAAACCAAGACCCCCTTCAGATTTGGGTCTGCAAATTTTGTCCCAACCAATCCTAGCTCCTGATACAGCCTTATCTGATCCTTTCCAAAAGAATCTTGAGCAGAGCTGTTCAAGTCTTTTAATAACTTTCAAAGGAAGTAAAAATTGCCTACTCCAGAAATTCACCACACTGTAAAGAACAGATTTGATGAGCTCAAGTCTTCCTGCATAGCTCAAGAATTTTCCAGACCAATGTTGGATTCTTTGTTTGATGCTTTCAATAAGAGGCATGCAGTCAATTTCAGTTAACTTTCTGATAATAAGAGGAAGTCCATGATATTTGACAGGTAAGAATCCAAGTTTGAAACCAGTAGCAGATTTAATATTGTCCAGAATTCTAGAGGAGATTCCAGCAGAAAATAATTCAGTCTTACTAACATTTAGCTTTAGGCCAGACAACTCATAGAAGTGATCAAGGACGGTGATAACTCCAACAATTGATTCAAGGTTTCCCTTGCAAAAAATTAAAAGATCATATGCGAAAGATAAATGAGTGATGCCAAGCTTTTTGCATTTAGGGTGATACCCGAATATGCCTTTTGTAGCAGCAATATTGAGTAACTTAGAAATGATATTCATAGCAAGCACAAATAAGATAGGTGATAGGGGGTCACATTGTCTTATTCCTCTTTGACCCTTAAAATAACCTATTAAACTCCCATTGAAGGAAATAGAATATCTAGCTTCTCTGAAACAGGCTTCAATCCACTTAATAAAAGGAAAAGGCAGCCCTATCACAATAAGAACAACAGATAAAAAGTCCCAATGAAGAGAATCAAAGGCTTTATGAAGATCAATTTTGAGGGCACACCTTGGAGAAATGTGTTTTATGCCATATCCTTTCACCAATTCTTGAGCGAGGAGAGTGTTATCAATTAAAGATCTACCTTTCACAAAAGTTGTTTGGCTAAGAGATATAATCCCAGGCAGTAGTGAAGTCAATCTTTTGACAAGGATTTTTGTGATAGTTTTGTACACCACTGAACAGCAGGATATAGGTCTGTAGTCCTTGACATGACTGGGGTTTTGAATTTTAGGGATCAAAGCAATAATGGTTGAGTTGAAGGCAGGACTGATAAAATTCTCTTGGAAGAAAAATTTTACAGCATTGATGACATCTTCCCCTACAACAGTCCAGGATTTTTTGAAAAAAAATGAAGTGTAGCCATCAGGTCCTGGTGCTTTATCATTTCCTTGTTGAAATAATGCCTCCTTGATCTCTTCAGTAGTGATGTTTTTAATTAGGTCAGAGGCAGCTTCACTGGAGATATTTTCTTGGAGGAGGTTTTTTAGATATGAAGGATCAGTTGGGAGGACTCTAGGATCAGAAGTTCCTAGTTGTAATTTAAAGAAATCAATGATCTCTGTAGACATAGCATCAAAGGACTCAAGTCGTTTCCCCTCATTATTGACCAGTATTCTAATGGTATCCCTTTTATGATTAGAAGCAATGGCCATATGAAAGATTTTAGAACATTTGTCTCCTTCTTTAATCCACTGGATTTTTGCTTTCTGCCTAAGAAACATATGCTCTATCTCCTCTAAGGCAGTCATCTCCTTTTGAGTTTTCAATTCTTTGTCCATAGAACTGATGCCTTTAAGAGTTTCAATTTGAATTTGCTCCAATTCTGTCTTCTTAAGTTTAACTCTAACAGAAATGTTACTGTAGAAGTCTTTGTTTAATTTCTTTAGGCAAGGCTTGAGTCTTTTAAGTTTAGAGAATAATTTCTGCATAGGGTTACCATAGGAAGGTTGTTGCCAAGACTGGTGAACAACTTCCAGGAAGTTTGAATGGGTGGTCCAGAAATTGAAAAATTTATAAGGTTTGGGTCTGTTTGTTAATCCAAGCAAGACCCATACAGTGATCCAAAGGGCCAGGGGCAGTGAATTCTACAAAAGAATTTTTGAAAGTAGTAGACCAATGAGGATTGATGAGGACTCTATCTAGTTTTCTTGCTAGGAAAGAATCCTTTTGTTTGTTGCTCCAAGTGAATGATGGGCCAAAAAAAGGATGGTCATGCAAGGAAAGATCTTGAATCACATTTTGGAAGTCAATCATATCAGCAGAAAGATAGGGTCCAAGGATGCATATAAAAATCCGAACACAACATAAAAAAACTTGACCCGAACCTGATTTTTAAAAAAAAAAATAGACCCGACCTGGTCGGATTTAAATGCCCATCCCTAGTTAAACGATGCATATAATTTCCCCTTTTTTTTATTTAGCAAAATCTATAGTAAATGCTAGTTTGCTTCTGTATTCGTATTTGATTAGTTATTAAATTAATGCGTTTCTTATTGAGTAAATAAAAGTTGAGACTAGTTATTTATTATGACGCACCAAATATTACAGAAATCAAAATATCTTCCATTCTTTTTCTAATTGCAATGACAAGTGTTAACCTAAGAATTCAAAACAAAGGACATCAGATACTTACATAGCAACTTTTGACAAACTGAATTTATTTTCTGCGAACATATAATTTTCTTCTTCAAACTTACAATAATCTTTTCCAGCTACTAGTGCAATAAATCAGAATGGATGTATCATAATTTCAAGGTGACAAGGGCCCGGAAAATACTGATACCACTGAAGCCGTTTCATCTCTTGGGACAGGGGAAGAGTTGAAATTTGTCCGAGGAAATATCCTTTTCCCTTGCTCTTTGTTCCCTTCTTTTATGAACGATGTACTTTGAGTCACTGCGCTTTTGCTGTTTGATCCTAGCTGCTGGATGCTCAAGGAAAGTCTCCTGTTTAAAGGGGTTGCATTGGCAAAACCTCCATTTAAGCTCTTGTTTGAAAGGCGCCGATTATTGGTGGTTGGCTTAGATGTAATGAAGTTTTCTTGCTCGATGACTACCTGGCTCGGACCTTCATCTGCTGAGAATTTTTTCTACATATTAGAGAGGTCTGGTTAAACAGGCTACTATAAATGTTGAATTTTGATTTTGGTTGAATGTGGAATTATACTGACCCGTTGCCTTTGCTTTTCTTCTTCTCTTTCTTGCCTAGACAGGTTGTACTCTTCCAACATTGCCAAAAGAGGTACCTAGATAACCACAGTTGTCATTCCCTCATGGCAGCTTGTTTGAGATTAATCATGCTTGATATGTTATATGAAAAACATAATTTCAAGTTAGTACATGTAGAGTTTTTAAAGCCAGGGATCCAAGTAATTAGTTCAACATCTGAGAGTTGCATGTCTTGACGCATTCCATGATGGTTTTCCTTTTCAACATTTATTTCGTTTGTTAATTACTTATGATCTATTTGATAATTTTCTTGTGGAGGTTATCTAATTAATGTTATATAATCATGACCTAGACGGCAAAAGCATGTGGAAGTTCAGGAATAACTAATCAGAAATGTTAAATCTAAAACCCAGAACATAAAACTGAGTCACTTATGCTGGGTCTTGTTATTTTTTTACAGGTGCTGGATATATATTGATCTTTCTGTTTTTTAATTACTGTCGTGCGTACTTTCAGTGAAGAACAATTTTTCTTTTTTCCTGTTTGATTATATGCACAATATTGTTAAACTATAACAGAAACCTACTTTTTTGTCAATGTGTAATCAGAGGAATATATGGTTTTACCTCATCGTACAAGAAAACTTTCCTTCTTTCTTCTTCCCAACTCTTGGTTTTTGCTATGAGTGAATCCACCAATGCTGCATGAAACTGTTTTCTGAGAATCTATATCTCGAAAAGTACATACTTACATTTCATGTACACAATAAGAGATTAAGATTCATTGTTTGACGCTTGAGAAACCTGCTTCAAGTTATAATGCTAAAGGCTTCACACAATCTAATAGATCATGCAACTTTTGTAACTGTCTAGTTCAGGTTAGTTAACGAATTCGGTGTAATATTTGTAAATGCTTATGCAAGTTTAGAAAAGTTTTCTGGTTTGAGTCAATGCCATGAGGAGTGCTTTAGCGAGATTTAGTTCCATAGGGAATTATCTCTAATGTGATGGAGATTTTCCTTTTTGTACCTGGGATTTTGTTGACTGTTACTCGGGCCCTTTCTGCACGTCTCAGGTTCCTATGAGCTCCCCTCCTGACAGAATATCTATTCTCATCCTGAAAATAGTTATGAAATAGGAAATGTGAAGCAGATTCAGCTAGAGATATAGCCAACTAGTTATGCAGAAAAATTGTTTTAAGATCATTAACCATGCTATATTCTTCCAGCCAGCGTTCCTCATCACGAGCTAGTATCCATTTCTCCACCTTCTCCATTATGGTTTTTCTGCTGGAAGCTTCTTCCTTTTCTCTTGATATCTGTTCATCTATGCTCATGAGGAGCTCGGCATGGTCAATCTCCCCTGTTGTACATTATATAGTTAGGTCCTGGCCTCCTGGGTACTTTAGATTTGAACTAGAAGAAAATAAAATTTGAAAACATATGTTATTTGTTCAGTCCCACCTGTGTTTATCAGGTTTAGTATATTTTCCATCTCCGATCTTGAAGGAATCTCCATGTGAGATTTATTGCAAATGTCTTCAAGCTCACTCTGTTTCTTGAGAAACAGCTCTTTCATTTTGCTTGCCTTTAATTGATCCAATCGCTTGACTTCGGCTTCAGCCTTGAAACATTTAAAAGAAACTTTTAAGTTTGTTGTTACTTTGATAGTTTGAGGTGATGGTGGTCTTATACAAAAACCTGTTGGATTATCTCCAGTGTAAGGCTTCCGGGATCAGATACTTCTGCCGATGAGACTGACAATAGATCAATAACATGAGAAAACAAGTAACGGTCTCTATAGGATGTATCCATTAGGCTCCACAAGTTTTTCAGTGCTTTACCAAGTTGGTGAAGCTGCAACGTTGACAAAAATTCAGCTAAAGATTTTGGCATGAAAAAAATTTACCTTATGACAGAGCTGTGGGCTGTCAAGGGAAAGGAAGAACAAGTGATTGTGGAAGAATCTTATGTCGTTCGTGGCAAAAATTGTGAACTCAAGCAATCCACTGTCTTCTCTTTTTACTTTTTAGGCTTTGACTATGATTTATTTTATGTTGTCCTTTATGAAGTTAGATAACAATTAAGAACTATGTACTTTTTGCTACATGCCAACAGCATGGTGCCAGAGCCCCTTGTAAGATCTGTTCAGAAAAATAATGGCATGACATTTTACCTTCTCAAGTCGCTTTTGTTTTTCTTCTTGCAGAGACTCCACAGTGCTGTTGAGTTTGGCCAAAATACCATCACTTATGTTTTTCGAAATTCCACACAACTCATTCAAGCTCGGGTGAACCTTTGTAATAATCATGGAAGATTCCATCCCCAATGTTGCTGACAAATTGTGAACAGCTGCTATATAGTTTTCCACTTGCTGGAGTCTGTTGTTCTTCAGAAGAACAAAACAGGAAAGAAAAGTGAACAGCTGTGATGCAACTTCCTTGATAGAAAATTTGAGGAGATTATGTACCTTCTCATTGTAGAGTCTTTGTAGCTCGTTCTGATATTCCTCAAGTTTCTTCAAAGAAAGATCATTCTCGTTCACTGTGACATTTGTTATCGAGTCATCATACTCCGACTGACCAGCAATTTCGGCAGATATTTTCTGGATTTGCCCTTGTATTGCTCGGAACTGGTTTACTCTCTCTTCTTTCCTCAACCGCATCTCCCGCAATGCTGGAGTAATGGAATCAAGTTGTTGCTTTATTGTTCCTGACATTTTCTCTGGCTGCAGGCACAATAATTAGGAGGTCATAAAACCAAGCAATGTACATTTACTCTTCCATTATATTGCATCTTGACTGGATCAAATGCCCTTCTTTTATCCAATTTGACCAATGAAAAGGAAAGTTGTTGTCAATAGTTTAGTTTATGACAAAAAATTAATGAAATCTAAATTGCTTTGTAAGGTACCCGTCCGGGAAGGGAACGTTCACCAAGGGACAAAAGAAGGTGAGTGAATTCAGCTTCAGATTCAGCCAGTTCCTGATGCAGGCGAGCTCTTGACATATTGGCACGGTCTACTTTTCTCCGGTACACCTCCAGACATTCTTGTTCTAATTCTAGTAGAACCTTCTCTCTTTCCGACTGATCTTCTCCAACTTCATTCCATATCATCTATTGCGTCACATATCACAATATATGATCTGATTACAACCACAGCTTATGTAAAAATATCAAAACCAAAATAAAATAAAATTTGATGAATCTCTTACCTGCAACTCTTGAAGTAAATATCCACATGAAGTTTCTAACAATGCAGAGCTTCTCATTCCAGGAGGCGCTTGGAACGATCCCATCCTATCTGTCTTTCAGTGCTGGTTTCTGCTGGGAGGCTTGAAACTGCTAGAAACTGGATGCTTTGGCTTGGGCACTGGGCCTAAAACAAGGTGGAACCTGTTGGTTTGAGTTCTTTGAGATGCAACCAAACCATGTTGTGAGAAAGAATAATAGGGGTGTGAGCTTTTTGCTTAAAAGACAAGGCTGGCAGTATTAGGTGCTAGTGAAGCTTTGGGTTAAAGAGTCATCCATTTTTCTGGATTTTCCAGGTTCTACCTTTCCACCTCATCACTATTTTGATTTAAATATGAAAAGAAAAGAAAATATAACTCCCTCCATCTTGTTTACTTTAGGTATGTATTGTAAATCAAACATTATATTGTATGCATCATATTTACATTCATCTTAGGTAAAGTCTTTTTAGATTATATTTTACAGCAACTTGATTCCTAAGCAATCTGTGTCCTAATGGAACATTTCTTCAATCCTTTGTTAAAATGTCAGAGTCATAAAAAAAGTTCCCATATGAATTTCTGATCTTTACTCTAGGATGCTTAAAGTTAGAAGGTCAAAGACAATATTCCAAAATTGCAATAATTTTGAGATTCCTTCCATAATTATGATTAGGACCAAAACAAATATAATATTCATTTGAGAATTTGGGAATAGTTAGAGCATCATTTTCAGCCCTACACACCTACACATTCCACCTCATTCACCTTTCTAGCAAAGATTTTTATAGGAAATTAAGGTGTGTCTTCCTTATCATTATCCCATTGGGGCTCAATGATTTTCTGGGGATTAGGTTTAGAGTGAATTAGATGCCAAGAGTACTGAGGACGGCCAAAGCAGGGCCCCCTACTATTCTGAAAATTTATACTTTAAAACCAAGCTCCATTTACTTTTGTAGTTAAAAAGAGGTTGTCTGGAAAGTGAAAGTGAAAACTATGTGGCTGCTTTGCCAATTGCAATCAGGGAATGCCAGACTAAAAGCTTCTGACTTAAGACTTGGGACCAACCGTAAGGCAGTTGGCTCAAAAGACACATTTTTTTAGTCATTTCTTATAGAATGTTCTGAGGGTTGGTTTATTATCTATTCTTAATTATAAAAGTTGAGTTGGTATCACGATATAATAGCATAAAATAATTGAAAATCTTTCTTTAAGATTTTAGCACAAGTAGCGTTGAATTTTTTTTAACAAAAGACTAATGAATTTATATAGAAATCATTTACCTCTATAGTTATTTGTTGAATAATTTTCAAAATGTTTTTTTTATATAAGATACTGAAATTCACTCGCATCTTGAATGTGATAGGATCTAGTATTATTTGAGAATTTTAAATTTCTGGTAAATGAAAAATTATCGTGGTGAATTGAAATGTCAAAAGATATATTTACATTAAATAAAATTAGATATATATTAACCAAAAAAAAAAGACGAGGGGTTGCACAACTTTTGAAATTAAAAGCGCATATACATGTAATGGAGCTAAACCTGAACTACTAATTTTGGGGACTCCTAATAATAAGATTACTTATGTGGCTAGCAGAGAAGGGTATAGGAAGGCATGTCTTCAATACGCAACACATCATCCATCAGGAGTTCTCTTTCCAGTTGAGCCCTTGTTGATTTCAACACATCCTGTTTTGTTTACCACCCACCAACCCATATATTATTACTTACTCAAAACTCACACTTTTATTATTGGGAAAAATAAGAATGTTGGGCTTCTATTCTTACATTAAACTCCATGTACGTGGCATTTCTCTCCAGCCATTGTTTGTCCATAACCACGAATGCCACGCAGTAGATTAAGTCAAACGCCCTTTCATTTTCTGTTAAAAAAAAGGTGTATCAGTTGTTTCATCACTATTAGGTAACCTATTTCACTCGTATAGTCGTACTTCACTTGTATTTGGAAATGTATATGCAGTCACGGACCCACACTTACTTGCTCATCCTGACGTCTGAATTTTCTTTTTAGTTATTGATTTTTATAGATATTATCCATCCTGAAATTTTATTTGTGTCCACACACTATTGTAAAATTTTGTGTTAAAGTGTGTCCACCCTAAAAAACTATTTCTGAATTCGCCATTGTGTATATGTGTTTAACATGGTTAGATTAGGTAAATCCCATTACTTTGTTTTACTAGCAACACTTGCTGGCTCTTACCTGATAATATCTGTAAGAAAACTGATCTGATAAATGTCCTAGGTTTCACTGCAAATCCCCATAATTTGGCATTAGCTTTCATCTTACTAACTTCAAGAAACTTGAACTACTAGATATGATATTTAGGAGTTGAAAATAGCATAGTTAAGGTATTCATCACCCACTTACTGGCATCAAGGTCAAGCATTTGCATGATCATGAATGTGATATTTACGCCGGCAACAGCAAATGGATACTCCCAAGCAGATCGCTTTCCACCTTGCTTCTTTAATAAACGTTGAAATGACATCTGCAATAACAAGTCACAAGATTGAACAATGCATTATCATGACGGTGGTAATTGACTTGTCAGCCGAGGATCCTCAACTATATATAATTGAATCTCCTCACTAAGTACTCAAAATCGAATGGAGTGTCAGATATTTATGTATCCAACAATGCTCACGAGAATGATATACTTGCCGAGAATGTCTTGGCAAAGAATAACAGGTTCTCCAAAGAAATAAATCCAGCACCTCTGTTTGACAAGGAAAATAAATCAGAAAACGAGAACCAAAAAGAGAAATAATTTGCCAAATAAAAGCTAACCTAAAATCAGTAGATGGATCCCTTCCCTGCCATCCCATTTCTTTCCACTGATCCGATATCAAGCCATGCAGTTCCTTTCCAGGGTATGTAACAGACCATAGTGCTCTCAATGCTTCCTGTCGCCATGAAAATTGTAGGTAAGTTGGCTGAAAGAAAAGAACATGGAACTGATAATTTAGATTGCATTTAATTTAGGTACAATTATTGCATCGGTGTATCCTAATGAAATTGGAAGATTTTGTTGTTCTCAGTAGATGTAGAACATAGGTCTCTCTGATCTAAGTTGGTGTCCTCAATGGACAACGCTGAAGTGTAAAGTAAATGACCGCCTTCATATCAAATTTCTGAGAAATAAAATGAAAAATACAGAATCAAACCTGATGATCAGGCCTGGAACTGTCAAAGTACACCTTCATCCTGTGCCTCAACTTCCTCAATCTTTCTTCCTGCAATTTGCTAACGGAACTAACATATGTAAGGAAATAACATAAATTAGGAAAAACAGAATAACCAGCATAGTGCATACTTTTTTGTTGGTCAGTGTTTAAAGTGAAACCATTATTTACTTGCCTGTTTGGGTGTCAAGTTAACGCAGATCCCTTCATATGCTCCCTTGCGCTTGAAACAAACACAAGTAAGGCCCTTACCAATCCAAGCTGGCCTTCCACATGCTGCACCATCTGCATACATTGTTACAACCATTGGACTTATTTCTTTTTCACGTTTCCCATCCAAAATCTATTTACAATTACTGCTTCAAGCCCAAAAATAAGTTGTTTAAAAAAATGAAGTGAAAAACAAAAGAACTTTCATGAAACAAGCAGAAACAAGGACCATTTTTTGTGCTTTCGAAACTGGCTGAAAAGCTGAACCGAACCATTTTACATCAGTCTATAGTTCACTTGACATGTATGAAAGAAAAGGAAGGAAAAAGGGTCCAGGTGGTGCCGAAACTCTCTTTTCACGTCTAATTTTGCTAATTCCACGGAAGAAATTGGTTCATGAATTCTGGACTTCGTCAGATCAATAGCGGCTTAGTGGGTATGTAGCGGTTCTTGGTCTTCTCAGTGGCACTCGCATGCAAGGTGGTGGGGACCGCTACCAGATGACTGATCTAGTGGATAACGTCATTAATGAGCACGTTCACTCGGAAGACGAGTTTGTCGTGCACGTGCTCCTACGTTTAATATTCTATACAACAAAGTCCAGATTTACGTATTTAAGCCCATAAACACCACGAATTCAAAGCAAAATAATCACACAAAATGTATTACTTCAGAATTTGAGCACGCGCATGAGCTGTTTATTGAGGACCTCTTCCCCGACCAAAAAGACATATCTAAGAATTATTATATAACAATAAAATTTGATGTATATTTAATTTAAGTTTAATTTTTTTATTTATTTTAAATATGATTAAAAAATTTAATTTTAATTTGATATATATAATATTAAAATAAATTTTAATTTAATAACACAGTTACAATGTTGTACATATTGACTTTTACATATTTTTATCAAAATTTAATTAACAATATATATATATATATTTCAAACTGGGGTGACATTGATTCAACGTATATTTAAATTAAATTTGATATGATATGACTAAACTTGAAAAAAAAGAATAATCTAAAAATTCAAAATCATAACCTATTAAGTACAATTTGTTCTCTAATTAATATTTATGTTGTAGGTTCAATATCTATTAAGAATAAAATTATTCTTTTCCTCTTTTACTTATAAATTATTAAAAAAAGAATTTCTATCGTAATATATTAAAAATAAAATCAAACTTCACATCAAACTGTCAGCATCATACCAAAATCAGCTACATGAACAGTGGTTTTATCTTGTGACTACACAAAATCTATAAAATAAAAATTTATTTAACACACATGTATATTATTTACATAGTCTAATGTTTAGGTTAAGTATTGAGATACGTTCATGTGCTAGTGACATTATAATGTGTTTTATGAGGACGAACCTAGGCTAATCATGGACCACAGACGGAAGATTATTGAGCTGGAACGCTACAGAAACCCTAAGTTGCGACCAATCCGGCATGATTCCGCTAAAAATCAGTTCAACAATCGATCCCAACCATTTATCGCACGACAAATGGAGATTAATCAGGATTTTTTCTTTTTCTTTTGGGTCTTGAAGTCAAAATGAGTTAAATCATTTCCAGATTCTGATTGAAGGAAAAGGATCGTCTACCAGTAGTCCTTACTTATCTCCCCCACTAAAAAAATATTCTTCATAATCATCATATTTTCCTCTATTATTTTTCGATCGCGTCCGAAAAATAAAGAAAAATCAATTTCACAAAATCATAAATCTGACGAGAAAAAAGCCGAAACGGAATACAAAGAAGCTGAGCGAATCGAGAACTCTGGAATCAACGGCAACGCCATTGTTGTGTTTGGGAGCAATAAATAAGAATCGCCGCGAATACATATATGCAAATAATACAAATTCCGTTTACAAATTGAGCATCGAAGAAATACCTGAAGAAGCAGAGCCGTGAGAGCAACGGTTAAGGGAAGAGGAAGGGGAGAAAGCGCGGATCGCAACGCAGCTTCCTTGATTCCTAAGGACACAACTCATTTTTCTATTCGCACAGCAAAACGCCTTTTTGTAGCTTCTCGATCTTTATTAGAATAGATATTGAGAGCATACATTATATAGAAGGAGGAGGAATCTATCTCTGTTTCTGTTGGGACCGGAGTTGTTCTTATGCCAGTGAGGGAAAGTGGGCTAATTATCAAAAATCATAACTACCCCGATTCACTCCTTTGTTTTGTTTCGGTAGTTGCAAGAAGAAAAACAGATTATAAGGAATGTGACTTTTTTAGGCCTAACTTTATTAGTTTAGTTTTTTTTTTTAATTTTATTTTGGTTACTATAGAGAATTTCGAGTATTTTATAAATAAGTATATGTATTCAATTATCATACTATATGAATGTCATTGAGTTAAAAATTATCCTAGACAGTTTAAAATCAATAAATTTTGGTTATAATATTTATAAGGGTAAAGTATAGTAATGGTCATTGAACATTTCTGAAGCTTGCATTTAGGTCCCCCAACTTTTAAAACTTACAATACAGTCTCCTAACATTTATTCTGTTTGCAATATGGTCCCCCAATTTAAACCACCGTTAGAAATTAGGGTAAATTATATAAAAGGTTATTAAACTTTTCAGACACTTGAATTTAGGTCTCCCAACTTTTAAAACTTGCAAAACAGTCCTCAATTTCATTCTAAACCCCAATTTCCAAAGTAATTCAATTTCATTCTAAACCCTAAATTCCAAAATAATTCAATTAAATTCAATTATGTCATATTTATTATTATTTAATTTCATCTTATTTCATGTGATACATATTTTTTATATAAATATAATAGTATAATTCTTATCTGTTGAAGAAATTTTTTAATTAAAAAAAGTAGTTAGGATATAGAAGAGGTTGAAAATAATTCAAATTTTAAATTTATAAAATGTTATTTTGACGTATAAATAAAAGTGTAAACTACTAGGTTGACAACTTAACTATCTAGCCCTTTTTACTTTTGTCATCGATCTTTTAAATTTATCAATCATACAACATAATTATTTAACTATTTCAACTAAGCCACTAGTCGTTACCAATTGATACAAATGATGAAGTGGCAGTTAAAAGGAATTGACATTATTATACATTCAGTCTTTATTATTTATATAATCAATTTGGTCCTAAATTAAATAGAATTTAATAAATTAATCATTTAATTAGGATCTGACATGTGTTAGCACATGATCATGACACGTGTCATTGGTGACACATGTCACCACCTAATTATTTATATATGCTATCAATTTGGTCCTAAATTAAATAAAATTTAATAAATTAATCATTTAACCAGGATCTGACATGTGTTAACACATGATCATGATATATGTTATTGGTGACACATGTCACCACCTAATTAGAAGAAAATTAAGTTACAAAGAAGTAAAATTTGGGTCTTGGGCAAACTCAAACCTGAGTCACGCAAATGAAATATACAGGGTGGAACCACTAAGCTAACACCATCGTTTGTGTTAAGAGATATACAATAATACATATACTAATAGTATGACCAATGCCAGGAAAAAAAGAATATAATGGAAAATGGAAATAATGAGATTTGAACTTCGGCAAAAAATTTGAAAGCAATAAATGATGGGAAAATATTATATTTTTTCACAATAAAAAATATTATATTTGATAAATTGTTTGATAGATTTAATATATTTTTTAAATATTAGTTGATACAATATTTTAAAAGAATAAATTTAAGATTTATATATTTTTAAACTAAATTTAATAATTATATTTTTCATATTTATAATTCATGATTATATATATAATCTTAAGTTGAGTATTTCTAATATAATTAATAATTTTAATTTCTTATTAAAAATAAAATATTCAAAAATATAAATGATTCATACATTAATATATGAATATATATTTTTTATTTATACATCTAAATATAAATATACATTTATATAAATATATTTTTATTCGTATATTGAAATATTTTGATTAAAATATAAACATATTTTAAATACTAGTTTATACAAGAAAAATAAAATATATCAAAAATATAAATGATTCATACATTTAAATATAAATTGAATCATTTATATTTTCTATACATCTATATTTAATAAGAAAATAAAATTATTGGGGGACTGTTTTGCAAGTTTTAAAAGTTGGGGACCTAAATTCAAGTGCCTGAAAAGTTCAATGACCGTTTATATAATTTACCCTAATTTTCTAACAGTGATTTAAGTTGGGGGACCATATTGCAAACGGAATAAATGTTGGGGGACTGTATTGCAAGTTTTAAAAGTTGGGGGACCTAAATGCAAGCTTCAGAAATATTCAGTGACCATTACTATACTTTACCCTATTTATAATTATCATATTATATATATATGTATATATATATATATATATATATTAAAGTTTATAAATATAATCTTTTAAAGTTACACTCATTAAATAATTAAAAATAATATATATATATATATATATGCATTGTTGTTAATTTCCGGCTGGCTCATGTTAATCTCATCTTTGATATGTATTGTTTATATTATTAGTATAATTGTTTTAAATTTTAAATTTATTTTTTTTATTTTAATCAAGAATGACATCAACATAATATAAATGATCTAAAAAATCTGTCATGTTGGCATAAAAGTTCCTTATAAAACGTATATTTTAAAAAGCATCTTCACTTATCACATATTTATTAAAAGAGTGTCATTTTGATAATAATTGTTTTATATATCATTTTAATAAATTAATAAAAGTTTTAACTTTTAGATCGACCGTGGTCAGCTATAAGTCGGCGAAGCTTTTTCAACAATAAGAAAACAGAAGTGTGAGGGGAAATGCGTGGGAGTGTGACTCGTGGCGGGGAGATGCGTGGGTGAGTCAGGTGGGGGATTAATCGTAAAGTTTTTAGAGTGTGTTTGGTTGGTAGAATATGAGATTTCTATAGGAATAGATTCTACATTTTTTTTGTTTGGTTGGTCGGGAATGTCATTTCTGGTAATCTTATATTATTAATAGTAGATTTTTAGGGTATATTATCGGGAATGTCATTACCTCTTTTTCCTTAGGTATTGTTGGATTACCGGTGTTTTGGACTAAAATGTCTTTAAAAAAAATTATTTAAAAAATATTTTTATTCTGTCATTGAATAATAAAAATTTTACGAATGTTAAATTACAAATTTATCCTTAAACTATTTTAGATTTACAAAAAAAAATCTATAATTAAAATTTTTTTCATTAAATATTTTTATATTTTCTATTTTGTAAAATATTATATAAATTTTATGAATTTAATTTTTTTAAAGAAAATATATAAATATTTTCTACCTTGTTAAAAAATAAATATATAATAAGGATAATTTGGTCAAATAAATATTCTAATAAAAGAAAATAACTTCAGTGACTAAAAATGTCTTATAATATACGATTTTAACCAACTTTTTTTGGATTTGCGAAATTGATCAACAAATTCGCAACGCGAACTCCAATTTCGCAACTCAATTTCTAAATTCGCAACGCGATTTCCAAATTCGTAATACTGAATTTCAAATTTGCAACTCGATTTCCGAGTTGCGAATTTTGTTTTCCCAACTTGATTTTTGAATTCGCAATACGAATTTTAATTTCGCAACATGTTTTATTTTCGCAACACAAATGTTTTGGGTATATAACTACGCAGCAGCAGCAGCAACTCATAACCTAAATCCCTAAATCGCAACTCTTTCCATCTTCATATATCACTCTCTCCAGCGATATCCGTTCCTATATCCAACGACATCCTTCCCTATCTCTAATTTTTTTTATATAATTTTATTTCTATATAAATTTTCAATGATTTCTCTCCCAAATTATCAACTATCAACTTAATAAAAGTATGTTTTTCTCTAAGTTAGTGATGATATGTAGTTTATAGCTCGTTTGTTTAGTAAATTAATTTACAATTTGTAGAATGAAATCATCTAATGTTGATCATGTTTGGATAGATTTGTGTTTTGGAGAGTCATAGGAGAATGTTCATGGTGTTTTACAATATATGTCTTTACCCATGAATCTTCAACTAAAATTGTCATTAAAAAAGTTAACTTATGAAACTCTAATGTTACGTGTTGCAAATAAATTGAATTTAGAGCCTCTAAGTGGATTTAGGCTATCTTATCAGAGAAAATGTAAAGTTTATTTGTTAACCAACAATGAAGATGTTTAACGATTCATTGCTTACATTAGTGTTTCGCAAGAAGATGATGTTACATTGTATGTTGTTGAACCTAGAAGTAGTGAAATTGAGTTAGTAGCGGGTAGTAATCAACTAAGTTCTTCAACCCCAGTTTATGGTGCTCACAATGTACAACGTTGTTATCAACCTCAAAATTTAATGGTTCCACCACAATTTCATCACCAAGGAAATTTTATTTCACCACATTTTCAATTCCAAACACAATATCAAACACAATCTCAAAACCCACAATCTTTTCCTAATCCAAATCCCAATAAACTTTCAGCATCAAATTTCGGTTTTCGTATTGACCAGTTAGACGATAATGAGCCAACAGAAAAAATTGTGAGTACTAGTCAGTATTCGAAATTTGATCTTGGTCAATACCCGGACTTCGTTCTTGGTCAATACTCGGATTTTGATTATGTTTTAGAAGAAGAAACAGACCCTGCGTGTAATGATTTTGATATTGGTCAATACCCGAATTTTGATGATGAAATAGCCGCTGCCGAGGAAGATGTTGTTGATAATAATGAGGAGGAAGTTACGACTGTAAATGAATATGTTGAACATCCATTCTGTAATTCATATAACCCTGAAGAAGAAAAATAAGAAGAAGAATTCCCTGAAGAAAATAAAAAGAAGAAAATGCCACGAGAGTATAACTGAAATATGCCAGAATTACTTCAGATACCGGAAGAAGAGTTGGTAAAGATAGCAGTTGATTGCTACACAAAAGTTATTCGTATCAAGAAAGATGATTGTTTTGATACAAATGAAGACTTGAAGATAGCTTTGTATACAA